GAGAATTGTATAGGATACTGTGAGACAGTTCTCTCAGGCTTTTTTTTGTCTGCGTAAATGCCATGCACATAATTAAGTAAAAGACAACATGGATATTCGTTTTTCAATCTTTTTTGCAACAATAATCCTTTGCAACTAAAAAATGAAAAAATTTTTGATAATGTTATTGCAATAATAATCCTTTGCAACTGAAAAATGAAAAAATTTTTGGTAATAGTCCCAATGGGGAGTCAGACTCTACAAGATGCGAAAGACTTTGTTCCGATCGGACCACCCACCTAGGAAAAAGCCGGCGAACATGCATAGAAAAAAAAAATAAGGGACACTCTTTCAGGGACAAGTACAAACTAACTAGGGTGCTTCATCCATTTGTTCTTTGTTAACTTTCTTTGCTAAAATCTACTGCATATGTGTATCTCTTACGGTTTAGGACTGCGCAAGGGTCAAAGTATCCGTAAAATAATAGCAGATCCTGCGCAACAAATTTTCTAACAAATCAAATTGTTGCATTTTTAGAACGATACGGAGACTGTACCAAGCAATGGGAATAATACACCAACGTCAACGTGAACTCATCTTGCTGCATAAGTCGGCAAAGCTTAGTTAGTGTTTTGGTACAGTGCATTGTAATTGCCCTTTCTTGTCTTTCCCGTGCATAGCACAGGGCGTTCCACTAATATTAATAACAATAGTTTTTCGCTAATATCACGAAAACTAAAGTTTTCCGTCAATTATGCATAAGGAAAAACTCGTTCAGAATCATGCCACTAATAACGTATTAGAAGGACATAAAAATCGTTCGAAGTTGATTTCAAAAGTTAACAACAATTTTTCGCTAATATCTCGAAAACTAAAGCTTTCCGCGAAAGTATATGAACAAAATTGTTCAGAATTATGCCCGTGATAAGATATTAAAAGCGCATTAAAATCGAGAAAAGTTTATTTCAAAAGTAGCCGGTTATTTTGCAACAATACTTTGCAATTAAAAAATGAAAAATTTTTTGATAATGGTAACAATGGGGAGTCAGAACCTACCAGATGCAAAAGTTTTCGTTTCGATCAGTCCACCCAGCTAGGCGTAATTGGCGAGCATACATAGAAAAAAAATATATACTCATCGAATTGAATAACCTCCTCCTTTTTCGAAGTCGGTTAAAAAAAATTTTAAGAAAAAAATACGCCGACTTCGAAATGCACTAAAAAGTATAAAATAATTTCTATTTCCTAATGAAGTAATTTCTATTTCATTCAATCATAGAATTACGTAACAGATATGAATGAAACCTATTTACTCGTTAGGTAATATATTAAATTTCAACCTTCTCGGAGGCGGCGCAAAATTGAAAGATTTTCTTGAACATGTCAACCTTTGGACAGCCGAACATAGGCAAAGCTTGTATATCTATTTTTTTTCTATACATATAACTCGACAGCACGCCGCGAAGTAGGTGTTAGTGCGTATAGAATGTAACTATGGTCTATCTAGATTCATAGAGTATGCGACGGAAAGACTCGATCGCCGCATATACTATAAAGTAAAAATTGCCAGCGCATATTTCTGCTTAAACGCGGTTTTCGTTCATAGCATTCCATCTCAAATTCTGGACATATTATATGTAACATACATGCACACATGTACGCGTTTCTCGGCTCTATAAGTTGTTTTCGCGGAACGCATAGTTAAGTTTCGCGGCCATACCCACGCATTTACGTGGAACACATATGTGCGTTTCACGGCTGAATCAAGTAGAAGGATCTACTACCTAAGGATCCAAGACGAGAAATCTATTATAAAAGTTAAGGAGGAAGCTTCGGGTAAGTACTGTGTCATACTTGTACACCCTGGGATCCCTGACATACGACGGGCGCACGTACCGCGTGGTCTAAAAGATTGTCAATTCAAGAGCAATTCCGGACCTTCAGCAAAGGTACCATCCGTGAGGTAACAATGCAAAGATCCTACTTTTTATTGGACATGGGTCGCCTCCATAATACGGACGATGACGTTAGTACAGATCCACACAGGCACAATTCGAGCACACACACAAGAACGAAACGTAAAAAAAAGAAATGGAAAAAAATTCAATAAAAGAAAAAAAAGAAAAAAAAAAGAACGAAACGGAATGAAATATGCGGGCGGTTCGTGGCGTGAGAGTTACTCTAGTCGCGGCTCGCAGACTTCTCTTTCGTTATCCGCGGTTCGGGTCCTCGGTGCGCGAGATTCCCCCTCCCCGAGGATTTC